TATCAAGGCTTTGCATCACTGCAAGCAACATGGCAGACGTTCTTTTGCTGCATTAATATCCTTTAGATGTTGCAAACAACTATCTTAACATCATGGAAATATTGTATGTTACTTCCTTGTAGGCAAGACAGCTAATGATTCTTTTGTCAGGGAAAATGTACGACTAAGTTAAACTATTCAGTTCATGTGCTTTTGCATAATAGGCTGTTGAACAGGTACTACCCTTTGAATATTTATTAATTTGCACTGTTTGGGTAAAAACAACAAAAAAACACAAGTATTTTCATGTTTGAGGGCATGTGAACCTTTGTTTAATGTTATGGAGGTTTTCATTAAGCATTTAAAAAATATATCTGAGTTTTGATTATTAGTTCTCTGTGCAATAGTTAGCAAATTACAGTACTTAGATGATTATCTCACTAGCTGTGGTGCTGCAAATTGCTAACCACAAGTTACTCGTTGGCTCCAGTGTCTCTGGTGCAGAAGGTAAAACGTCTAATGGACTTGGGACAAACCACACTATGGAGCATTCCATTGGTTTAATCACATTTGAAATATTTATTGAACGTGATGTAAAGCAATCAGATTCATTTGTTTGAAAGAACAGTTGTTCCCAAGGCAATTTTGTCTATATCCTGGAGAGGAATAGCAAATGGCAAAAGAAGAGCATTTTCTTCCTTTTTGTTTTACAGCTAACAGAAGAAATTGCAAGTGGTTTTTATTGCCCATGCCAAATTTTATGACAAGAACATAAATTTTAAATTTTCCTTTTATAGTGCACTTAGCAGAAAAATACTGCTGCTTTGAAAACTGCAGCTGTGTATTATGATAGTAGACTACTTAAGCACTTGCCATGGTTCATTCAGGAAGAGTATGTGTGTTCACTGTAAATCTTCTTTTACTATACACCTAGGATATGTAGGCACATGCATACATACATGGATAACCCATTTTATTACCTTTCATACCTAGTTTTCATATATTGTGAAATTTCTTTTCATACCCATCTAGTGGCAACTTAATATTTTATTTTCTAACTGAAAAAGTTGGCAAGTGTTTTCTAGAAGAACATTTAATCCACAAGTGCTTCATTTTTAGCTTAGTTTGCAGTCATGTGCGCCTTTATGAATGTTCCCATAAATGAGTTTGGAAGACCTGGGCCAGAATAGCCTTATTGTAGTAATCATATTGTGGTAGTCGTAAGTCAACAGATTGTTAGGGAAAAAAAATGCTGTTTGAACCTACTTGGGTGTATTTTGGTCATCATTCACCAACACGTAACAAACTGGTTTGTCAGTGAGGTGGCAGATCAAGGAGTTCTGGAATGTGGAACATGTCCAGCTCTTTTGCATAGCACTATTTGTTACTAAGATTCTTAAAATCTGCTGAGAATCATAGAACTGTAGTATGGTTTGGGTTGGAAGGGACCTCAAGGATCATCAAGCTCCAAGCCCTTCACCACATGCAGGGCTGCCAACCTCCCCATTTAATACTAGACCAGACTACCCAGGGCCCCATCCAACCTGGCCTCGAACACCTCCAGAGATGGGACATCCACAGCCTCTCTTGGCAGCCTGTTCCAGCACTTTACCCTTCTCATATTAAGAACTTCCCCCTGATATCCAACCTAAATTTTCCCCCCTTCAACATACAACTGTTTTCCCCTTCCATGTCACAGAGGCTACTACAATTTAAGGTGCACCAAAATAGCCTTAACTCCTGCTGTGAAATCAACATGAGGAGCTGGGATGGAAATTGAAACTTCTTAGGAAGCTTCTCTCACTCCTGGGTAGATTCTCTTCTCACTTTCCATGAAGGTTATAGGAACAGCTGGAATAGGAAAAGACTTTTTTTTTTTTTTTTTTCCCCATTCTGGGTCTTGAGGCTTTATATGTGGCTTTCCACTTGCAGGCCTTGTTGACTATGGAATTTGACCATGTGTGTATTCTAAACCGTACACGTTACATTTCTGCCTATTTCTGCCTTATTACTGCTGCTATGGATTCTCTTATCATACACACAAAAGTAAATTACAAAGTATGAAACTTTAAAACCAAGGAGTTCAAAAAATTCTGTCGCTGGATGAGCTGCACGCTGTATTTTAGACATCAGCTTAAAAGCAAAGGCAGAATTGCAGTCAGTTAAAGAGCAATCATTGGATTACCCAGAAAATACAGCCCCTCTTCCGTGCCTCTTAAAGTCTTCATTGCTCTCTCCCAGTTGCGGTGTTTTTTGACTTACTGGCAGCTGCAAAAGGAAACAGGGAAATGTCTTTGTTTGGTTCTGTCAGCTTGCTCCGCTTTGATTACCGTGGAAGACAGGCTTTTATGGGCTTCTATTCCAAGAATTTTACAGTCTAGGATCAGATTTTGACACCCTTGCTAGTCAGGAGTAAGTGGCTATTCCATCAGGTCAGATAGATCTGAATGGGGTTATCAGTTAGGATGGTGGTGTTTAGACAGAGCCATGACAGTGATTCAAACACTTTTCCATGAGTCAGTGATGCAAATATTTTTCTGCTGGTTTAGTCTTTTCAACTGTCTTTTAGATGAGTAACATAGAAAAGCCTTTGGTTATTCTTTTATTTAAGACAATGTGCTTTGAGAAGGAAACAAAATGAATGAAACCTTTTGGCAAATGAGTGAGCAGGAGGGATTTTGTGCAGAATGAAGAGCATGAAAGAAAGCCCCATTTCCGGAACATGGTCCTAAGAAGCAAACCAGAAAGGTCGGCAGGTTTTCACTAGGCTGCCAAGAGATGAGCAATGATTAGGTGATTTGCCTCCTTAAAACCTTGTCTACTGCCAGCCCCAAATCCCCTTCTCCCATTTCCAGGGCAGCTTTCAGCCCGCAGGATAAGCGGATGATGAGGTATACAGTTGTGGTGTGGAAGGGATTCAAACAAAGTGAATGAGATTCTTATCTTCTGGGACTTGTGTGATACAGAGAGTGAAGAGGAGGGAAGACAAACTGTTCTTCATTTGCAGAAAATGCTTTCATCTTTTGCTGTGCTGTGTGGCTATGGCTGAGGAGAGAGCAGAGAAGCTGTCTTCCTGCTTGTATCAAATTGCCAGGCCTTTAATTTTGACCAGATGCACCATGCAATTATGGCATCTGATGGATAGTTATAAATGAATTAGTCTTTGGCAAACTGAACTTCATTTCAAGTAATATCAGCATCACAGAAGACTCAGGAAACCAAATTCTGTGACAGAGTCAGTGCCTTTCCCTAAGCACTCAAATTTCTTGGCAGAATAAAAGGAAGCCCGAGTGCAAAGAGACAGAGTATTCTAATTTCTAAGCACATTCTGGAACGGACGCCTTGCTGCTCTTCCCACAGGCAAGCAGTGCAGGATGCTGACAGGTACCCTGAACCTTGCCTCCATGCCTGTCAAACTCCCATTTTATTGTGGTTCCTATTGGGGTTATAGGTAGTATTCCTGCCGCCGCGCCCTGTGCTCTAATTGCCATGAAGTGCAGGAGGTTCAAGTATGCTTGGTTCCCAAGGCTGCTAATGAGCCCCAGCTCTTCTCGCCCTTAATGAACCAAGACTCGTCTGGGGGGATTCTTGTCCGCCCCTCTTTCTTCCTGGTCAGGGAAGGAGGCGAGAGTTCACACAGCAGAACAATGACTTTACAGTGCGGGGGCCGTGCAGCTGTGCCATCTGAAGCTGTGCTTGGTTATGAGCAACAAAGCTTAAATAGATTGTACTGTGAGGAGGTACGGCTCTGTGAGTGTGAAGCATAGCTCTTGCTTCTGCCTCACTGAGCTGTCCGCTCGCGGCAGCGACGGGGCCCTGATGGGAGCTTCTGCAGGGAGAGCTGCGCGGGGCGACGCTTTCGCATTCTCTCTGTGATGCTGAAAGCAGAATTGGGAGCAAAATGAAGTTTTAGCGGATCTCTGAGAGGGCTGCACTGCTGCCTCCTCTAGAAAATCCCATCAAAAGTCACGGATTCGTAATCCACCTCAGATGCTTAATAAGGCCACTAGAGCAAGCATCATTCAGGAGTTTCAGCAATGGAGAGTATTTACAGAGCAAAGCATGCACACAGATAAACCCTTAACCAAATCTCACTTTTCAGTGTCTTTCTCACTGCAGGCTCTTTTCATAGGTTAGAATCACCAGCAATTTGGGCTCAGTTAGTAGAAATTTCATGTGCTTCATCTTTCTTGCGGTATTTCAGTTAGGACACTGCAATCCTCTGGCTAAATTTATCTCACTGCAAACACACGTCATATTTACACACATACATGTACCTGTACTATGGTACAAATTACCTTGAAATACATAGGAGCAGTATATTAATATAGTACAAAATATATCCATGAAAAACATAAAAATATCACGTTTTCTTTGATACGCTGTTCCCTGTGTATATTCATGTAAATATTTACACAGGTGAACACAGATGTGTACCCTAGGTGCTGTGCTATAACAATAATTTAGCATTTCAACCTGAGAAAAGAACTGTGTGAATTAAAATAGCAATGAGAGATGTAAGGTTACTGGCTGTTGTACTCTGGGCTAACTCTTGCACAACGCTATACAAAGGTGAAATTGTTTAAAGTTTTACTACTAGATTAGCTAAAGCCAAAAACAGCATCTGCAAAAGAAATCTGATTTTGCTGTAGCAGGCTGTTTGAAAATCATCACGTTGTTGTTTTAATCATTTTGGGTTTTTAGCAGTGCAGAGAAACATCTGCTGCTTTCCTCAATCGCATGAGCGAGAAAGAGAAAGCGAAAGAATAAGGAGCTTTTGCTTTGCATTCCTAAGTGAACAGAGAGAATAGGGGATAAAAAAAAAAAAAGAAAAAGAAAAAAAAAAAGCCATCTAGTTTTAAATACCTTGATGTGTGCATGTGCAGGTTCAAAACTTTTGCTCGCTCTCCCGCCCGGCGTGGTGGACCGATAGTACCGGGAGCTGCGGCGAAGCTGACAACCCCCCATGGCTGACCCCTCATGTTGTCTGTCGCCTAATCGAATTTTGCGTGTGTTTCCAGATAGCTGATCAGCTTCCCTGGATTTCGCTGACGCCACAGGAAAGCTTTGCCTGAAGATGGAAACACTGGAGTCGGAACTGACCTGCCCTATCTGTCTGGAGCTGTTTGAGGACCCGCTGCTGCTGCCCTGCGCTCACAGTCTCTGCTTCAACTGCGCGCACCGCATCCTGGTCTCCCACTGCGCCTCCAACGAGCCGGTGGAGTCTATCACCGCCTTCCAGTGCCCCACCTGCCGCTATGTCATCACCCTCAGCCAGCGTGGTCTAGAGGGGCTCAAGCGCAACGTCACCCTGCAGAACATCATCGACCGCTTTCAGAAAGCCTCGGTGAGCGGGCCTAACTCCCCCAGTGAGACCCGTCGGGAGCGGGCGTTCGACAGCAACAGCATGTCCTCCTGTGAGAAGGTCCTCTGCCAGTTCTGCGACCAGGACCCTGCCCAGGAGGCAGTGAAGACATGCGTGACCTGCGAGGTCTCCTACTGCGAGGAGTGCCTGAAAGCCACGCACCCCAACAAGAAGCCTTTCACCGGCCACCGACTGATTGAGCCCATCCCGGACTCTCACATCAGGGGATTAATGTGCTTGGAGCACGAGGACGAGAAGGTGAACATGTACTGCGTGACGGACGACCAGCTGATCTGTGCCCTGTGCAAGCTGGTCGGGCGGCACCGAGACCATCAGGTGGCAGCTCTAAGCGAGCGCTACGACAAGCTGAAGGTGAGTGCTGCCCTCGCACCCCATATTGAGTGGTGGGGAGGGAAGGTGTCCTGCCGTTCAGCGTTGCGTTTCCTTGTTTGGGCACAGGCTGGTAAAGGCAGGTGTGCGATCTGTCATCAGGTGAGATGCATGTACAGACTGCTGTGTGCTCATCAGAAAGGGGTCAGATTTTCCCTTGAAGAAAGATTCCTTGGTTGTGCTTTGATTTTTCTGCTGCATGCAGTGTACACTATTGCTAGCACAATAAGCTAGTATTAGCTTATCTGTCTGCATCCATCCACATCTTCCCTCATGGCAGTTGGCAGGGTTTTGTGTTGGCTGCACATACACAGGCCCTGATGGAAATGTCGGTGTTCTTTGCATACGCTCTGCTGTTGATTATTTTTTATCGAGCTGTTTTTATCACAGAAAACCCTCTGCATCACTGCTAATAAGAAATTCATTTATACCTGCTGATTTCAGGGGCTGCAGCTGCCTTGTCAGCCAGGGAGACTAAATGCCAGCCCCGGTCCTCCCATGCTGCCCTGAAGGAAACTAAATCAAAAATCTCAGCTCCTTGTGGCATTCTATGGTTCCCCCCTCCCACCTGGCACCCACCTGGTCCGTGTGGGATGTCCTCACTGGGTGAAACAGGAGGCCACGATGCAGACCTGCTCAGGTTGCTCTGCAGGCTCTCACTGAGGCCATCAAGCAGCTCTGGACCCAACACATTGATTTAGGTGCTGCAAGCAGAGGAGAGGATTGAATGAGATTTCCTCAGGCTAGTCTGTATGTACTTGTCTGCATGCATTTTGGGGGGATTCCTTGGTTATGTTGAGAAGACACAAGTGTGGAGCGCGAAGATAATCTGCCACAGTTTTGGAGATGTGAGAAGAAACTGAATTAATAGATTTAACTAACTGGAAATGTGTTCTTAAATAACTTGAAGATGAAAATGTGAGGCTGCACACATAGATGATAACTTTGTGTGAGTGCAGGTAAATTCTGCATGCCACATGTTTTTTGTGCCTCTGTGCATGTGTGAATATGCATATCGTGTTCTATGATTATACTGATATAATGAAAGATGCTTCTTTACTTGGACCTGATAGCTTCTTTCTTTTTCTTAATGAATTTTTTTTAGTGTTAAAGAGAAGTTGTCATTTCAGCTTTTTTATTTATTTTTTTAATTTTTTTTTCTGAAGAAATGTGTTTGTTTTTTTAAATAATTAAAAGTTTAGCCACTGCTAAAATGGGACATGGGCTCTAAATGTGAATCCTTGCCAGGTGCTACAATTCAGCAAGCTAATAGAGACTAAACACCTGTATCATTTATCAACTTGATAAGAGTAGGAATGTGCAATTTGATGTGAAATACCTTTGAAGTTCAGTATTAGCTAAGTGCATTTTTGAGGATGTCAGTAAACGTTAAACAAAATTTCTTAGTGCTGGTATACTTAGATATGGCTAGTCTTAGAAGAAGACTTCAAAAAGCAAGTGTCTTTACTTGAGATCTTAATATTACACATGGTTAAGAAAAAAATCTGTGTGTTTTTACTTTCTTTCCTGTGCAAAGATGCCTACGCAGACTCTGGATAGGTATCTCAAACAAACAAGCAGTGTTCACATTAGATGTTTCCCAGATTGGCAAACCTGGCAGAAACGTAATAGAGTACTTTCCACCAGACTCATCAATGAATTCAAGTACTAATTTAATGATTAGAGTGGGCCTGGATCAAATAACTCTTTCTTACAAAGGCAATTTCTATCATTATTTATAATATCCATACAGGGTTTTTTTGTTTAGACTTAAACTTTCTTTGCACTCAAACTATGTGGAAGTAGTTTATACTGGAAATTATTAGCCAACATGAAATCCAATTACTGTTGTTTTTGTCATGAGTGAAATAGACTTACTTTACTTTGTTAATCCCTGCGGTGATACCAATCATACCAATTTTGCCACCAGTTACAACACTCCGAGCCCAGGGATAGTAGGCTAGGTGAGTTCCATCCAGATCCAGAGTCCATTCTCGGTTCAAAAGAAGGTAATCAGAAATTGATGTCCTTCCTTTCCTCATTGCCTCTTCCATCTCAGTAGTGTGAGCTGTTTTATATATTAAACTCTGAGAATGAGATTTTCTCTTCAGTAGATTGGATTTCTTCCTTTGGAGTAAAGGAATTGGGTTTATTTACATCACTGTTTAGCAACAAACAGGCAAGATTGTCCGTTCACTTTTCATGTTGAGGCAACCTTCTTCATAAATGGTAATACCATTTCTTCAGTAACTGCTGGTTTTGCTGTTGTATGTCTTTGGTTCAAGCTTGCATTTAGTGTTTGTTAAGTTACAGATAATGTGCAGATGCCAGTGTTAAATGCAGTGTTAATCAGAAAATACCCATCTGAAAAACAGGTTGTTGCTTGCTATATTGCTGCCGAGGGTTTTTAAATACATAGGGTTTATTTGATAGATGAGTTACACAAATCTTCAAAGAAAATTCTAAAAGAATGAGTATACGCTAGTCAGTAGGGTAGTGGATTCATTCAAAAATTGGTGGCTAATTGTATCTTCGAAGAAGAAAAACAAAACCGCTGCATGTGATGTTTTCTTTTCTTGCAATTTTCTTTTTAAATCAACACATTGTTGATGCCAACAACAGCAACTAGTGTGTAGCTCTAGGTGTCAAGCTATGCTAATTACTCGCATTCTCTTCCAGCGGTGTTACTAATTGTTTAAACTGTATCTCATCCTTCATTAAGCATAGGACAATAGATGCCATTGCAATCTAGCTCCCTTTGTGGCAAAAATGAAGCCCTTTAATTAGGAGTTCTGTATACTTGTCCAGCAGAGACGTCTATGCTAAAGCATGTTTAACAGTCAGTGTAATTGCAATTGTGGACATCTGAAAATGAGAAAGTGTTTTCCTTTGGCAGCTATTGCTCTAGCCCTGAGAGATGCTTTTGTTAATGAACTTCTACTGTGCATGGAGGGGTCTTAGGGCACTTATTTCAGAAGCAATTCATTCTTGGTTACTAAGAACACATGGTGTAATTACATGCTTATAGATGTTTTAGTGTGTACAGACTTCTTTTTTTTTTTTTTAGACCATAGGCACAGATGTGTTAAAAAAGAGAAACCTCATGTACCATGGCAAAAATAGACAATAGGACATATTCTGGTTATCACTGAATTTATGAGGTGATGATCAGAATTGTGGTATAAGTTAGAAATAGCTTGTAGCTGCGTAAACAATGAAAGTTGTAAAAACAGAAGCTGCAGATGCTCATTCTTAGTGCAATATAATAATACAAAGAACAGATTTTTGTCTAATTACTTTTGATGTTGATTTTTTGCTTTTTGTCTTGTTGAGATGTGAAGGAAAAGACAAATGTGCGCTCATGTTTTCAGAGAAAATTAATGAAAATTGCCATTGTTCTGTAGACATATTTATACTTAAGAAAATGATAAGAAAAATGAAGACAGAGAAGCTACAAGGTGGATGTGAATAGAAAAATAATGTCCATTTAATTTTAGCAAAAAGCCATGAAGGAATGTTGCAAATGGGGAAGACAGACGGTAAAACCATATTTTGAAATGTTATACCATTATGTATTATATACCATATAGCAAGCATAGCGCCATTGAAACCAATATTTTTTTCTTTTTCATATTTACCAGGAATCTAGCCACTGATATGGATAATCTTGCAAAAAATAAAAAAAAATAAAAAATTTGGAATGCTTTGTGTGATGCTTAGTCGAGAGATCCTTTGTTGAATCAAACTGCTATAGGTTAGCAGTTGTTCTCCATGTTTTTGTTTGACCCTTATTAGCACTGACACGTATTGGGCATATTTATGAAGGCAAGGCAGTCCTGTGAATGGCACTCAGGAATTCCAAGAACAAAAGGGAGCTTCTTGTTTGTACAGCTTTTATTTTGTTTTAGTGGCAGAATCCATGCACATCTATTTTTACTCTGCTGTTTATGCAGGATGCAAGGATTTAGTTTTCAATGGCGTGTCAATTCAATTACTCACAAATATTTTTGGTGGGAAGCAGCCATAAGTCGTTTCCACATAGAGAGAATTGCATTCAACTCTTATAAACCTACTTCAGCTGCGTAAAGGTAGGAGACTTTGTTAGGTCCACAGCTTCTACAAACTGGGCGCAAAAATATATCTCCCCTGATATGTTTACTCTGAGTTAAAATCATCTCATATTTCAATGTCTCTGCAGAGACGCTGGCAAAGTATGTGTTGAAGCTTTCCAACTATTAATTGGTATACTGCATACGGTAAGAACCTAATGCTTGGAAACCTGTACTTAAACAAACAGATGGGTTGAGAATCCAGGAACACTGGTTTCTGTATTTGTACATAAATACATTAAGCATATGCGTGTAAGTATATATCCGTATGCATTTTATTATGTTTATTAGTATATTTATAGTGCTTGTGTTAGTATGGTAACAATACTGCATATGTTAATAGGTATGTCAGCGTAGCTGTGTTTGAATAGCACTGAAATATATAATTTCTAGTAGTTCATTAACGTCTAGAATTTAAATGAATATATACATGCCTATATTTTAACTATATAAAGTTTTCAGATACATATATGTTGGTCACTACAAATATATTTGATCACATGTACATTTGCTGCATTTCAATTATTTAAACTACTCTATCTAAAACATGGCACCCCTGGACGTGCATTATTACCAGATTGGTATTAGATTACTGTTAGATTAGATAATACTTAACACATATTTCAGTGTATATGAATTAAGGAATGGTCACTTATATTAGTATAGAATATTATGTAATTTTACATAAAGCACGAAGAGTTAACTATACTTTTTCAGTATTATAAAGACTCAAAAACATTAACTTGTTTCATGGAAGAGAATAGATGTAGGAATGAACTATTTCAATACACAGGTATTTGAGTAACACTTAGTTTATTAACGTGTAAATATTAAGGCAGACTTTAGATTGTACTCTTTTAGTCTAGTGTTTTC